AAAAACGCGATAATTGCGATTAATAATTACAAAGCCTGTAATTAATTAGATAATTTTTTTAATCGAGTCCGGCCCTAATATATATATGTCAAGACAATCTTCAATATTTAAAAATAATCAAACGCTTCACAAATTAAAAAGAAGAAAATGGGGAACATAAACACGGTAAACCTCGTTTATACAACATTTTTATAACTTCAATGCAACATTTAAACGTCCGAGTCAAGCCCAACTCCATGAAACCTGTCAAAGCTTTCAGCAGTATGACAAATAATAATGGGGACAAATTGTAGTTTTCAGATGTGTATAACTGGTGTATAGACTACTTTTTGTTTCATATATGTAGCTTGTAGAGATTTTATTCACTTGGACAAGAAGTATTCTTCTGTTGATTTGTCCAAAAATAAATCTGATGTTATTTGATGCAGTACCCTCCACTGTCTGAGACTAGATTAGTGCCCACTTCTTACATTCATTTCTTACTTCATAGTTTATATGACCCAATATGTATATATGCTCATTTTTATTTTTTAGTCATTTCTAAATTCATAGTTTTTCATTATTAAATTGTATTATTATGTTTATCTTTGATTTTATTTTTGATTTTATTAATCTGTGCTGTCCTGTTTTTCACCCTTACCCTGTTGCTGTTTGAACTACTGAATTTCCCCACAGGGATTAATAAAGGTCCATCTTATCTTATCACTCCTTTCTTTTGTTTTACAGTTTTTAACATAGTTTAAGTTACAACAAATTCCCAGAGAGGTTATTCAAGGTTGTAACTGGGCCCAGCAAAGTGATACGGCTCCTTTCTGGCAGTTCTGCTACTTAAAGACACAGCTGCAATAAAAGATCATACGCAGCTGCAGGCCTGGAGTACCACTGCCAGCACCTCTTTGTTTATTGACTGAAATATTGCACTACAATGTTTCATTGCTAGGGGGGACAGACAATCAAACCTGGACAAACAATAATTTGACAGCAAGAAAAGTCATTCTTAAGCAAAGTATTGTATGACAAAGGAAGGTTATTGTATAAGTAGGATTGTTGAAATACTGATGGAATGGGCCTGCAGCTATGAGAGGACTGATTTCCTGGAGCTTGTCATTCATTACCCTATGCAAGTTAAGTCTTCATAAAACTTTATGATAACATATAAAGACATTTTGAGAAAGGTATTGTCTTGTGATAGAGGAGCATAGTAAAATCCTATCCAACAACTCATGGTCTTTTATTTCCAACTTTGTCTTGCAATATTAATCGGAGAATACTGTGCAATCAAATCAAGTCAATTGCAACAAGCAATGTAATAGAACTTGAAAACAGTTTACAGCATGGAAGTGTAAAATCATGTTTTCACAATATGGTCTCTCTCTATTGCTTTCTCCCTCCTACTCTTCAGAGCCAAGACAAAAGCTGGACTTTGCCAAGAGTGGGTTTTCCTTTTATTCTTTAAAGAAGTTGGGAAGGCAGAACTAATGCTTTGCCCTCAATTCAGATCAGCTGACAAGATAACTAGGCCATGTGCACCCAGAATACCAAAAACAGATGCATGTGAAAAGCACCCTGTCACACACACAACGCTAGTGTTATAAGACCTCAAAGGTCCTCTATGTATAGACGTTTAGCAATTTGTAGTATTGTTTATGAAGTTTGTATGTATGTATGTATGTATGTATGTATGTATGTATGTATGTATGTATGTATGTACAAACACCTTGGTGACTAATGGGCTGACTCTCCCTTTAGAGGCAAACAATATAATCTGTCCTAGGTAAAGGCTCACTGATCAGAGCACCTTCCAGCTCAGAACTCAAGTTCTACCTTTCACACGGACTCAATGTGGTTTGGGCAACATTACTGAAGTAGCTTATTAAAGAATGAACATAAGGCTGCACTTGTGTCACGGCCTAATAATATCTTCTTGTGTACAGCTGAATCTCTCTCGTCTAGTATTAGAGTGCATGAAAAGCCTTCTGTGTCAGAGTTCTGCAAAGTTTCCCATAAGGCTGCACATTTCAAAAAGAGCAGACCTTCACCAGTAGCCAATGGTACTATTAATGATTACTGTATAGAGACCAAAATACACAAACCATATAGATGACCTTTCTTTAGCTGGTGAGAGATGCATATCTATTTTCCAGGTGGATATTTTCTCAGCTTGTGGCAGGTAAAGACTTGTATAAATGAAAACGCAACTAGGCAGCTTTTCCAAAACCAAACTTAAAGGAAGGGTGCACTTTGTGTGTGTCAGGGCCTTGTGCTGCATACTGCCAGAACGGAGCTGATTCCTACTGTTGGCGTAGGTAACGCACCTTTATTCTTTAAATGGTGTTAAGTTTCTGTCAGTACCTTTTAACATATAATCTCGGGACCCCCTTGACAACGACATGGTGAATCTCAAGGGGTTTATCATAATAAATACACTTCAAATTATAAACCATCAAGATGAACACTTTACTCATTTAGCAATACCAATCCATGTAGACCTGTGCTAACAAGTTAATAGAAAATAACCAGAGATGCAATACAAGTTCTCAAGAAATATTTCTTAATCCATGTTAGTGGAATTTTGTGTTGTGGAGAGAGCAGAGTTCCAAAGAAAATAAACCATAGGTGTGTATCTTTCTGAATTATAAAAAGTTTTAAAGGGTGGAAAAGTAACTGAACAGACTAGATCAATTAGTTCAGCAATGAGAGTCTACATCTGCAAAGGAAATTAAGAAAAATGCATGCTTTAGCAGACTGAAGTCAGGGGAAAAGCATTGTGTTTGGATAATCTCTTTCATATTTAAGTAGCGAGGATCAGATTTTGGTCACTGTCTAAAGTTTCAATGTTGTTATGTAAACAGTTCAGATGAAGCCACGTTTACTGCGTTGCAGCACATCGGGATTTAATTACACAAAAGGACCGCAACGTGACAACTGACAAGACAAAGACTGTTTCCTAGTCTGCAAGAGAGACTTCAACATTATGATAAACAATGTCTAGGATCAGTGAAAGGCTCAGTGGCCGGTGTCTTAATGATGTAGCCTATCCTGTCTGGTACTGCACTGGTATTAAACACTTTATTTATGGGATTTAACCTTACATAAAGATTAGCTCCCTCTTTGTTTTTGCAATTTGTATTCCTTTAAAAGTTAAACAGTTTTTTTTCCTAGGATTATCGTCATGTAGATATCTCTTAAAATATTCTGCTCTGAACCCAGTTATGTCAGAATATATTCCTACATCTCCAGCTCAGGATAGTGGATTATAAGGAAGGCAGTAACAAGACAGAATAAAGGGCATTCGGGTCAGAAGCTTTTTTTCTAGCACCAGAAGGGCTAACTGAAAGTATAGTGTAACCCACTGAGAGCAACGACACACATCACACACAATATACCCTGACTGCTGAAGGAGTGACAGACCAACAACACCTTTTCCTTGTGCCTGCAAATAAATGATAACTTATCATAAGCAAACTTCTTGGCATCTCTCCAGGTCAACAATACCTGTTTGAGGATACGGCAACAAGGTCACAATACCGCTACAATACGAGTTTAAAAGCACTCTGCAAGGAGACAAAACAACAGACTCCTTTTTGAGGCCAATCGAGGCTCCACGTTCAATGGGTGAAGGGCTAAACACGACGGAGGAGGGGGAGTCCCACTTTCCGACCTTGTGAACTTTTATCACTACAAAATATAACTTGGACTTTCTCAAAAACTGGTTAAAGAGTTGACCCCGTTTATATTATTTACGATATGAAAGCAACAAGAATCAGACTTCTGTATTAACTCACAGCTTGAACTGAAACAGAAATGATGCATAATTTCAGAAATGACACTTCAAACTTTTCTGGATTCAAATGTGAATCCAAACAAATGCGAATTAGCAACATCTTCTGCATCAACCCATTCACTCCAGAAACAGGTTGGGATTTTTAAATGGTTGTGATGGTGTCAAACGATACTCAAAATCAAGCACCACCATGGAACGCACTGCATGGTTTAAGCACATGTTTACGCAGGCACCTGTGCGTGCAAAGCATGCATTTACTGTACCCACATTCTTCCTTCCTGCACACGCACTTACCCTGCATTGTTGCTAACTGCAGTGAGACCGTTAACTCCGGTCTTCAGTAAACTGTTGATCAGATTCTCTGGGATGCCACACAATCCAAAGCCTGTGTGAAACACATGAAAAAAAGGTTATATAAAGTAAACCAATACAAATTAAATAAATGCAAGCAACCAATAAATCATTTGAAAAAAGTGTTAATATATAAACATGGTATGGTGGCACTTAAAGAGTAGATCAGGGACATGGCATATTTGGAAAAGAAAAAACAATGACCTCTACAGCTATTACAAACCACTCAAGTGAGATAACATTGTTCACCTTGGATCAAGCCCCAGGTCATTCCAGTCATGCGTGTATAGGGTGTTACTAATATTATACTGAGTGAGGCAGACTTCTGTTTGTGCTTTCGACACAATGGAAAAGTGTCACCTCAAAACATGACTATAAATAGGAGCAGTGGAATTTGTGTGTGCTCTGTGTGTGGATGGTATCAACCACACTGCAGAGTAAAGGAAGAGGCTATTTGCTAGCACTGTCACTAAGGTGTGTGTCCTACAATATGAAAAAGTCTGTTTGTGAAAGTATTGTTTATCTTTACCTCCGACAAGAATAGTAGCTCCATTTGGGATATCTTTGACTGCCTCTGAAGAATCTTTGTAGAACTTTGACCTTCTTTGGCTAGAAGTAGAGAAGTAACAACCACAGGTCTGTAGAAAAAGAAGAACAAGAGATGCTAAAACTTTACAATACGCTTTGAACTTTTTTTCTACAACCAGCAACAGACACTAACTATTAGTATAATCATAAGCTGTGTATTCTGTATACAAGTTTACTGCTGAAAAGAAAGCTTGTTAAAACAAAACTGAGCAAAGCCTGAGGGCAGCTCATATGATTGTATTACAGCTAATCCAGTTTATTCAGTTGAGGAAGGGAAAGATAAGCAAAACTGGGAATACATCCTACAACAAAAGGAGTTGAGCTTTACGGTAGCCCACAGCAACAAATCCCAACGGGACAGATACTGTAGCTAAGGACTCAAACTTTAAATTATTTGTGTCAACACTGACCTATACAATTTTGACCTATGGTGCAAACAAAGACCAATTTTATAATGAAGAAATATCATATATTGTTGTGTTTCACCAGAAGGTGGCTACAATAAATAAAAACCATGATGTGCTTTTCAATACAGATTATAATACACTATAATGACTTTGGTGTTATGGTAAACATTTGTAATTTCTGTCTAACCTTTAAATACTGAACTAATGAGAACACTTTCTGTCAGACTCCACCCTGCTTGTTACATTCTTAGTCACTTCATAATTTATAAATTCCCTTCATCTATAAACACAATTAACATATAAACAATGGTGTACAAACTGTTAACTTTAAACAAGTAACAAGTACTTATCTAGTTTAATTTATGTTCTGTATGAATTCAAGAATAAACGGCATTGAACAATTTATAGAGCCAGTTATTGCCCCCCAGTGTGTTTAAAACTGGTCTGGAGATTCATGTTTCGATATCAACTGCATTAACTACTAAGTAACACTCTTGAGCATTTTCTAAATGTGCTCTCAGTCTCCACATGAGTTCTAACTTCAGACATATGTGAATTTCTGAAACCACACTATTTATAGACATGGTGACTACCTTCTACAATGTACAGACTATAGGCTTTGACATAAAATAAACATGATGGAAACATTTTAATGAGTTTGTGTAAATGCATGCGGGCAGGGGGGTCGTTTGCACGTGTGATTATTCCACCTACAACACACACACGCACATTGGTATTAGGCTGCTTTATTATATATGTTGCATGTAAAGCTGCGGGTTTGATTTATCTTTATAATGTGTTTAAATCACTTACCCAAAACAAATGCAAATTGTGCATCGCTGGGTTATAATTCTGTTTGTAACGTGGTTGCAAACTGTTAACGAAAATCCCCGCAATTACGCAGTTTGAGGTTAGTTCACGATCTATTCGAAGAGTATATAAACAAAACGAACATACGGACAGGATTCTAATTACTCAATTCTGTTTGATCCGAAATGTCGAACGAATAAGGAAATGAAATATTCACAATATTATGACCTTGTAATCTTGCTCAGGCATTTGCAACAATCTCATTTGCAATAATCTCATTTGCAACAATCTCATTTCCACCTTTTTTTTTTCTACAACCAATTACCATATGCCTTAAATACCAACCTTGCTTAATTGGAGATTAGCGAAATTTAATCTGGTTCTGCAGGGACCTGAGAGGTTTTTGAAGAATAAATGATCCGCTCTGCACAAAGCTTTGAGGGCCGCCATGTTTTGGAGTTACACACGGGCGATGAGTCGAGGAGTGAGAGCTCCAGCCGGTGGAAGACAGATGATGTAGCTTGAAAGGTCGCACACAGTGGCTATCAGCAGTGCTAGCTTACACCATAGGCTCACGATGACATTAGCTGCTGCCTCAGTGATTGGGCTGGACAAGTGGGCTGGACTGGGGGGGGAGATACAGAGAGGCTTGGCAAACTCATTTACATGTAACCCTTTCACCACCACTACTATTACTGGGACGGCAAGATTATATCACTTTCCTGTTATTTCAACACGCATCAAGTAATAAATTTAAAAATGGCGATAATTACGCGGTACGCATTGTTGTTAAGGGTTACCCAGGCGCGCGCACAAGCAGAAACACTGTTGTATTAATGAATTGGAAACAGACGAGACCGTCTATGTGAGCACGTGAGTAATCCCTTGCTCACGTGACGCACACTCTTTAGTCATGGCCGACGACTACAGGCGACAAGGTTTCGAGTTGGAGAGAAGGATATTTGAGTTAGACATCAAGTGTTCCAGTCTCAGAGCTGAAAAGCAAGGTATCGATGAGACGTTTGTGTTTATTTTCTGTATTGTGGCCAGTCTTGGCACATCGTGTGCGTGGCTACAATTTTTGATCAGTGTATCAGCCAACTAGCAAGCTGGCTAACGTTACCTAGCATAGCCTGTAACGATAACAACAGCTGTTTTCTGATGACATGTTTCATATTGTGAAATAATACACACCATGCCGTTAACTAACAGGTGATAACGTGTTATTTTAGTTACCTTTGAGTAAAGTGTAATACATGACGATGGTTGAATTTGAATACCTGCGTGTTCGATGTAAAGGTTAGCGTACGTTGGCTAACGTTAGCTAAAATGCGTTATTGTTGACAAACGTTTAGCTGGACAAAAACACGCTGCTGCGTTATAGCTAAATAACTTCAGCTGATACTTGATTTTCAAAGCATTGGTGTTATTATTTTTATGTTGAAATGTACCGTTTTGTATTGGCAATCATTACATTTAAACCGTGTCAAACTCTTGAATGCTGTCTCATAGGCATATTCTTGTACCGTTAAAACGTGTTCCACTTCTGTCACAAACGTGTGTAACCTAACCGTGCCATTTATATAAAACAATACTGAAATGTGTTAAGTTGGGGAAAACTGCTTGAGTTCAGATATGTAAATGGTAACATGTTGACATATCGTTCTTCCATAGATGATGACTATTTACAGAATGCGTCTGCCATACTAGACAAGTTGAAAAGCTATTACAGGCAAGGAGGGGAGAGTAGCAACCTTTCCAAGGTGCTTCAGGATTACACACAGGTACCTCATTGCATTACACTTCTTTGAACGTCTAAAACTGCAATTAATGATGTTTACATTAGTGGTTAATTTTCCGGAGCGTTTTTAATTGAATCATCTATTCTAGTTGATAAGACTAGTCCGAGAACGGGGCAAAATGCCAATTACATGTCCCTACATTCAAATCATCATAATTTATTTTTTTGTGGACTCATGGACAGGTTCGAGTGTGCTGATTTATATAAAATGGAAAAATAATGCTGAGATTGGGATTAATCAACCACAATTGTTGTGGGTTATTTGTCCTTTTGCCTCTATACTGTAAATGTCAAACAAATGACGCTCATTTTGTATTATCAACATGCATGTACTCAAACAACTGGTTCCTAAGGAATTCTCATTATTTCAGAAAAGTAAACTAACTAGATGTTAGGGATGACAGTGTTAACCCTAGGATGGAGTCATAGCAGCGGTGCAAAGGCAAAATGTGATTGTGGAATTTTTTTGTGCTTGCGAAGTGCGCCTCACCAATATGTTTCTTTGTGTCTGCCAGCACAAGAAAGGCTCTTGTGGCTCTACAGGTGTATTTTGCTAAATCACCTTTATTGAACATACAGGGAATTAAATACAACACAAATACTACACATAAGAAACAATCAAAATAAAATGTATGCATTTAAATTAACCTGCTTTATTTGGGGGTGGACCTCACATCCCCTAGAGGGGTCCGGGGGTATGCACCCCACGGAAGATTTGTTTTTAAATGTTGAAGTTAAATGCATCAATCTGGTGCACTTTGAGCACAAAATGAATTTATGAATATAGCTCAACATTCATATGAAAGGGAGCTGTATACTTTTCAATAATCAAAACATCTTTAGAATATGATCACAACCAATAACAAATCATTTAAACTTGTTTATTCTTATCTTATGTTACCTAGTTAGCATTCTTTCTTTTTATTTATGCATATTTTACTAATCACTCTCCTTTTAAACTGTTTTTTCTTTTTTTACTGTCCTATAGTAGACATTGGAATGATTTCTTAATTTATTTTTTACAACTATATTAAATAGATAAAGGTGTGCTCTGTCTCGCTGGCTCACAGGCTGTGTGCTCCTTCGTGGCGATGACGCGAGCGCCACGTATTATTATTTGAATGTATAAAAAAATCAGCAGCAGTGAATGTATATAGGGGAAACACTGGATGATACTCAGAGCACACATTTGCTTTTGAAAAGGAGCTTTAAAAGAGTTTTGGGGATTGTACGCCGTGCCTACCACTCCCTGGTTGGTATTATACGTTTTATCCCTAATTTGACCTCGATATTTAGGAAGAACTCAGTAATGAAATTAAGTGAGAGGAGTGAGCTAATTATATCGGATTATTTTTACAGATTTTTGTTATCTTTAAAATGTTCCATGTTTTCTTACACGTTATATTCAATGTCTGGTGTGGATTTGTTTGTTTTTCATCTTTAAGGTGATCCTTGACATCACATTTTATGAAGAGAATAAGCTGGTTGACCAGGAGTTCCCTGAGGACTGTTCACCATTTAAAATCCAGCAGCTGCTGCAAGACCTGACTGAGCCAGAGGTTTTGGCGGGGAGGCTAGCACCAGCGCAAGAAGTGTGTATATATATATATATATATATATATGTCTCAAAAGGATTTTGTATGCATGTTCTGTACATGTTTTGTATTCCCAGTAAGAAATATATTAAGAGATGTATTAGTTGGACTGTAATGTTGTCTTAGGTTTATAGTTTTGCAAAATGCACTTTCCCAGATTGACTTGCATGACATTGTTTAACACTACTATTGATGTTTATTATAGGTGCAGTCTGTGTTGGGCCTAGAGCTGTTAGAATGCCTCTATTGGAGACGTGGAGCTCTGCTGTACATGTACTGCCACACCCTTCATCAACGAAAACAGTGGATTAAGAAAAACAAGGACACGTTCCTTAAGGTACCAAAGTGTGAACAATCTAAGTACATTCACTAAATGCATTTCTGGACAGGATGTGGGCTTAACTGAATCTTCGTTACAAATCAAGTGGTGGTTGGTTGAAAAAAGGTATTTCAGGTTTCTTGTTGGTAGAGATTATTCACATTTCATATTTGAATCCAGTGTATTCAGGAAGGGGTGCGCTACTTAATGCGGATGCTGCAGGTGAGGAACTCTGTAAAGCTCAACGATGGGGTGGTGCTCCATGATACTGCTACGGCAAACTTCCTATCTGAAGGTAAATATGTCATCACTTATCTTTGTGGTCCATTGTAGGATAATTATTGAGAACATTCTTGAATTGTATGCTTTTGTTGTTTCCACAGGTATCTTCTCGGACACACACCTGCTGACAATGATGTACATCGGGGAAATGTGTTTCTGGGCAGTGAAGTATGAGGACTGCAGCGCTGAAACTATGGATCGCAAAGATGATCGCCTCCAGTTTCGGGACATTGGCACACAGATCCTCAACAAATACGTGCTTGCCTGTGAGGGCCCGCTTCAGGGCCAGGGCTGGAACACTGAGAATGCCAAGGAAATCCTTAGTATTTTACAGTGAGCCAAGCTGCTCTTATATTGAAGTTGCCCTCAGGCACAGATCTTAGTTCAGTATTCAAATTTGTCAACCCCAAATAAAAATGGAAGCCATCAGGTGGGGTGTAATGTTGTGGAAGGTAAAGAGGAAGCATGGGGAGAACGTGTATGGGGAGAAAGTCTTTGGATCAGTGTCTTCAGGCAACCTCATCCCATGCCAAACAGCCCAGGCCAAAGCAGGTCAGACAGGATAGGATAGGTGGTGTAAAACTGGCAGGGGTTGCAGTCAGAGGTGGAGGTTGAATAACTTATGGCCCTGTCCTGCTGAAAAAGCAGTTATCATCTTGATTCTAGACTGTTGACTGGGGCACTTATTTTGCTCTGAGAATGTGTTATAATAACATTAATATAAAAAGGTTATTAATAAAATGTACCTTTTTTTTCTTCTTTCATTTGTTAAGATTGTTACAAGTTTGAAGATAATCCAGCTGGAAATGAGACATTGCACAGTAACATTTTATTTATTGTTTTGTTGCCATTTTGGTATGCTTTTAATATATTATAATTGCATATACAATATATATTTTGTGTATTAAAATATACACACTAAAGGCAAGAAAAGGTGTTCAAAAACAGTTTGACAATGATGTATTCATGACTATTTGAAGTATGCTCATATTTGTTCATACCAGCTTTGTAATGCACCACTTGTATTCCCATCAATTGCAAGTAAACATTTTCTGCCACTTCAATAACCTTGATAGTATAACTATTACTAGATAATCTGTGTTTGGACAAAAATCATTTTTCTGTTTTTTATGTCCTCGTTGACAATAAACACGCGCGTTGTTTTAAAAAAGAAAACACCTTTATTTTCCATTGCAACTTTTTCAGATCCGTATTTAGCAGCACGTTTAGAAATACATTACCCACAATGCCCCGCTGCCGCCAGCAACAAGGAAGTGTCAAAATCAACCTGAAGTCTCTCCTTAGTCCATATTAAAGTGTGGGGAGCTACACGCGTACATCTGGAGTCATGGCAGGTAATATCCAGCAGCTCAACGAGTCGGCAGTGATCCGCAGCCTCAGGCGCTTCAGAGACACATATTTTACAAACAGAGCTAAAGTTGTTCAAGACGAACTAGCGCCTGTCGTTGAAACGAATGCAGAGCCACCACCCGGATTTCTGGACAGTTCACCGGTGAGTCCAAACGTTCATGGAAACGTCTTTCAACTGTCCCACCCACCATTGCGGTAACAGTGATTTTGTTATGCCTGTGTATATTCAGTTGGAGCAAAGAAAGGGGCAATTCCAGTTTGAAATCTGTAAAGAGAAACCCTACTTTTTTTTAAAGCAATCAAGATGTTATTTAAGTACACATTTTGAACTTTGCCCAAGTAGCATAATTCTACTTCCTACTGTCTGCACTGCTTTTCATATGGTCAAGTTATGAGCAGTGTTCACCTGCAGATTCTGATTTTACACAGAGCATGATGTTATGGAACTATATCATATATTTTATAATGACTGGCAGGGCTCATGATTACTTTTTACTTTTGATGGAATCCTTTCCCATAATAATATGTGGTTGAAATTCAGTTTTTCTTTATTATATTAGGATTAAACAGCCATGTGTAGCTTCCTTTTATGTTATTGTATTTAAACAAGAGTTCCTGGTAAATCTATTTTCTAAAAGACAGATTTATCTATAAAATGTGACTTAATTTAGGGGTATGTTGTCTTATCAAGACATGACGTGCATGTAAAACACTTAAATAAACCTCTGAAAGACACTTGCTTGCTTTAATTCAATTTATTACAGATATTTCTACAACATGATGCCTATATTCTTTTGCTACGGTAACATTTTAGATGCCAGGCTTCTCATATTCATTTGTGTATTTTCAATAATAATAGATTTGCTGCTAAATACTGGTGTTAGGGATCGACCCCCATTTTGTCCCTGTCATCTTTTCTTGTCTTGTACTGTTGAAATCCTCATTACATCAATCCTAGTATCCTCCCTCCTTATTAAGGTGGATGTTCAGTTCCTGATTATGACCTTTCTGTGTCCTGCGGATATCTGCTGTCTGGGAGCCACCAGTCGGTACTGGAGGGCCATGGTTAGAGATCCATTACTGTGGAGGTACTTCCTGCTCAGGGACATGCTACACTGGCCCTCCATTGATCATGTGAGCATGCCCCAACTGGAGTTTTTGGATGCACCCCTCATCAATGAAGAGGAGAGCCTGGATGATAGAGAAGAGGATGGCGACAGAGGTATGGTTTCAACATTTGACTACATGTCAGAGTAAGTATCTTTTTCTGTTGTTTAGTTTAATGGTCCGTTGGTAACCATTTATTTGACTGGAATGTTCTGATAAAATTATTTTCTCTGGACAGATACCTGAAAGGCTGCCCATCCTGCAGACAACAGTGGCTTCCTTCACGGCCGGCATATGAGGTCTTTACCTCCTTTCTTCAGTCTTTGGTGCCCTCTTCTGAACCACGCTATGCAATGTTTGGCCCTGGCATGGAGCAGCTTGATGTATCTTTAGTCACAAGGCTCATGAATGCCCCAGATGTGCTACCTGTGTCGGGCACTCCTCAGAGACAGATAAATGGTGAGATTACATTGATATTGACTGATTGATTGATTGGTCAGCGATTAAACAAACAAAAGTACCTCTGGAATCTGTTTCAAAGTACAACTTCCTCCTAAACCAATGGCAGCTGATTTCTGTTTCCTACAATGCTGTTGTTATACAAATGTACATATTATTTCATCACAATTGTTTTAAAAATCAAATTTTTGTCAAATGTGTCACTTTTTTTATTATTATTTCTTTTTTATCTTTAGTACTTTTTATGCATGCTTGCGTAACATTAAGCTGTCTCTGGCTCTTTTCTGCTGTAACAATGTACATTCCCCCTCTGTGGAACTAATAAAGGTATTCTGATTCTGATTGATTATCGTATCTAATGTAGTTCTATTTATCTACCACTAGATGGCATAATTGCCTCAACATTGTTATCCCATTAGTCACTTATAGCTCAGATGCCAAAATAACAAAACTGATCTTTTTATTTTCATTTTAGGAATTGGTTCTGGGATCAGTTACATTTTCAACAACCAACAAAAATTCAATATCTTGACTCTGTACTCAACCAATCGGTAAGCACTTTGTTATTACAATGACCATGAGAGTTGCAATTCTTATCTTTATCATTATATATTTGTGAAGACAGCCACCGTCATTAAACTGTGTGTGTTTGTGTGTGCAGGGCAGAGAGGGAAAGAGCCAGAGTGCAGCAGCAGAGTGTCAGTAATAAACTGTTTACCTTAGAAGGAACAGATGAATCAGGATGTCCGGCCTACAGCCCTGCGCCTCAGGTCCAGCAGGTGTGCCAGGTTGTGGATGGTTTCATCTATGTAGCTAATGCAGAGCTTGGGAGAGGTTTGTCTTAGAAGCTTTTTCAAAAATGTTTTTGTTATATATTAATCATAAGCACAGAACATTTGCATAACAACATTTCTTTAATAGGTGGGGAAGAGTGTGAGGTGGCTCAGATTCGGGCTGTGCTGAGTTCTGCTGAAAGTTCAGCATCCAAGCCTCTGCTGGTGCTTTCCTGTGTCTCCAGAGACGACCCAGAAGAGGATAGAATAACTAACCTGCAAAAGGTCACCAGCAGAAACAGGGCCAGGTGTCGGACTCCCTGTGTTGACATGGCAAAGAGACTTGAACTACCGCAACTGGCTAACCCCTGGATGGTAATTCCCTGATAGTTGATCAACTGAAAGGCTTTCACTATGTTTATATGCATCCAGTATCAATTTGAGGAGATGTATAATCTGTGTTGGTGTTTCACTATCTCAGGTGCAGGATACAGTGGCAGAATCTCTGTCAGGTCTCCTGGATGGCATTTCCTGGTTGCTGAGATGTTCTGGAGTCAAACTTTATGGGGGTTAGTTATCTAACTACTGCTGCTGCTGATGAATGGAAACAACAAACTGTATTGCTGCAGCTTCCAGACAAGGTATGCTACATGTGCATGAAATGTAGCATTGCCTGTGGGACTTCAACTGCATCAGCAACAGATGTGATGGGTTTCTATTTGTTATTGAACTGAGAGAAGAGAAAGAGCCTTATGAATGAGTCATAGCAAAACCAGGGTTACACATGAGACTTTGTTAGTTGAACACTATATTCTTTAGAGCAGAAGTGAAGTACATAACTTACTTGAAGTTACGGAATAGTTGTTGTGGATGAAGGAACACTGCTAGTGCAATGCTAAATAACAGACGGACAAAGATAAACACACTCACCAGCAGATGGGAAAGAAACCTACACATGTAATATAGGGAATTGTTTTTATAGAAGAATGTATTTTTTATAAGAAATACAAATATCACAATATATTTTGCAAATACCTGGATATTGATATTGTGGGGTTGATTTAAGAAGCTGAAAAATGACAGCTTTTTACTGTAATACAGCCTTAAAAAACAGATGTTTTGCCCTTTTAGGATATCCAAAATACAAAACAGAATCTAGTCTGCACCATATCATGACACAGTTCTAACTTTGGTCAGCTGCTAACTCAACAGGTGGCCAGCTGTTTGGTTTAAAATGTGATAGTGATTGTACATTTTTGACATTACATTTGTGTATGATTTATTAAAGGCTATTAAAATGTATTAAAGTTAAAAATGTCTGCCAACAACCCTCCTGCAAAAAGCCATACACCTGAAAATATGCCTTTTAGGGGCTAAACTAGAATACAAGCAATGATATGTATGTACTGTATTTTAAATAGTTGAGGTTGTTTATATTGACAAATACTTTTCCAATTCATGTGTTTTCATGTTATTTGTTGCACAATTTTAAAAGGTTTCAGATTTGTATTCATATCATGAGTCACATTTTCAGTCTTTTACAATATCGATAACGTTATTAAATGTCTGTAAAAAAGTTGTCTTCTTCTTTCTTTCTTTCTTTCCTGCATTCGTCTTTTAGTACTCTTGCACATGTTCACAAGTTTAATCTTGTGAGCAGTGGAAAGTATTTATCTTTCTTCCCCTTCCTTTCCTCTCCTCTGAGGTCAGCTCTGGCATGAAGAGTTGAGTCTTCATCTGTATGTCAGTAAGCAAGGAACACTATCCTGTTTTTGCCACCAGGATGCGCTACTGGTAGCTGGTGGATTTAGTGTTTCGTAACTGGAAGCGCTGCCTTTCTAACTGCCCTTAGCATTGCCTGTTTAACTAGCAAGTGAAAGGCTTTTGTGACAATAGAGATATGACCTGTAAGAAGTCATCTTTAAACAAAGTTGTGAAATATTCACAGCAGGAGTACGGAACGTTTCTTTTGCATTCTGCAGTAGGTCATTCAGATGCAAAGTTGGACCTGAAAATCAATCTGCCTGTGACCGCAGCATGGAACATTCACAATAATTTCTTCTAAAAATTGAAATGTAGGTTCAAACCCACAAGCAGACATTTCAAAAGAAGAAATTCAATAACACACTCCATGTGTATTTTTGACCATGATTAAAATTATCATCTATTCAGTGTCCCGGCTGGCAGCAGTGTTCACATGTTGTTATGGCATCCTTTAGGGCATGACAAGATAATGTGCCTCACTGGTGGTCTTTTGTTTTAGTCCCCTAGGTAACCACAAGTCTTTGGTAAAGGTATGTTCCCCTAAGCAGCCCTTTTTAGCAAAAGGTTTTTTTTCTCTCAACAATCATTTTCATAGACATACAGATTTAGAATTGGACCATGATTGGTGCAATCTAGGTACATTAAGCTGCTGAATACTGGTGAAGCGGAGATTGATTCCGTTTTTTTTCCTTGGTGAAATGTAAAGGGAAATTATGGAGCAGGCAGCTGTGTGTGTGTTCCTGTGAGAGAGAGAACATCTCTGTTCTCTGTAAACAGGATGTCTATCTCTTACGTCCTCATTTCACAGTTATTTAAACACATTGCATGTTTATGTCCATGTCTTGTGTGTATACATGCTCATGCTTACAAAGACTGTCCAAAAATGAAGGTACAGCAACAAAAATTAAAAGAAGCATATGAACCATGGGAAACTGTTTTCAGGGCAGCTATGTTGGGGATAACTGCTTAATCCTTTGTTATTGCTCTGATCCTGATGGGGCTAATTTAAGTAAAGACCTTCCACTGAGCAGGCACTGGCCCTGTCAGTGTGGATGAATAACTAAGGTAGTCTCAGTCTGAATGCATGCAGAAGGGAACTAAGCTGAACCACTCTTATGTGAATATGGGCTAAAGAAAATAATCTAAAAATGAAGTGAACGCTGTTTGCAGTCAGCATGTGTTGGATCCTCTGTTGAGACTTACTTACATAGCATATTTTTAAAGTCTGTTTATCCACAATGCAGACTGTTGACCATTAGCACAGGGTCCTACAGAATGGTGGCTTGGGTTTTGTGGGGGAGGATCCTGGGCCATGTTTTGGAGTTCTGAATGAATGAGTTCCAGACCTCCAGCTGCCTCTTGTCTTCAAAAATCAAAAGGGGCCCTCTGGGATATGATGTCACTAAGAAGAAACCCCGCTTTTACTGACCCAAAACAGAGTTTGCAACAACATGCAGACAATTAAAGCATACATACCATGCATGTACATTGTGTAAGGAGACCCCAGGATTAAGCGTGTGTATAGAAAAAAGTATGTATAAAAGGAAAAAGTCAGGGCCCAATAAAACTGCCTTGTGTCTGTTCTTTACAACGAAGATTTAAGCTAAGTAACACAAGATCTATGTGCCTGTGTTCGTGGAACATAGTTTAATGCGGTTCAGTTTTATAGTGCTCTTTTTACAGCCTGAGGCAACTGACAAAAACACATCAGCAGTATTGCACAGACAGTCTGTTTACTTATGTAATATGAAGAATGTTTTGGCAGAGGTACTTCCCATATATTCCCGCAGGTTTCCCCCCTGCTCAATGAAGCTTAATATGTCTTGCTTTTGGACTTGTATAGTATAGTATCTCCTTTTATGCCAGCATTGACCTGGATTACAGCTTTAAAGCTTCAAATATTGATTTTGGAAATCATATTTACCAAGTAAAATAATATGTGGTACATGATGATCTTTTCTAAAAATGCTTTCTGTTGAGTACATTTAATTAAAACAATATCTTTGTTGCAACTATAATATTGGTGGTGGTTGTAGGGCTCAAAGCAACACCTGTACAATATAAATCTAGAAGTCTGCACTGGCTGCAGTGTGTGGTGGTGTGGAATTGTGTATTGATCAAGCATCAATATAGTATTTTACAACTGCTTACACACGTTTTTGAATACATGGCTCATTTTCTCAAAACGCTTAACACAATTCACCAAACCACACACCCAAAGTGCAAAACATATTCTGCAGAATGAAGCACTGCAGAACATAAACACTTATCAAAACCCAACTTTTGCACCAGATGGCACACACTTTATTTTTTAGTACAAGACACTTTTTCCAACTAACTACACACTGTAATGCTCAATCAAAAGCACACTCACTTTAGTGGGCTTTGTTCTGTATGTCAATAATTCTACACTTAAAGTTTTTCTCGATTGCTAACACACTTTTTTTTTTAAATTGCTCAGTTTCTCAGAACACTTAACACAATTCACAAAACCACACACCCAAAGTGCAAAACACCTAATTTATCCTGCTAAATGAAGAAGTGCACTCAAAACTATAGGTTACTTACGTAACCCCAGTTCTCAGAGTAACATGAAGTGAGATGTCTCACTATGGGATGCGCCTCAACGCGTATGCAAACAGAAGCATCAATCTCATAGAGACGTAGACGTCAAGATCACCAGCCAATCAGGATTGGCGTACAGTCCTGATTGGCTGGTGATCTTGACGTCTACGTCAGGGAATCCACCCACCCTATAAGTAGCTTGCGCTACGACGCAGCGTCATTCAAAATAAGCACCTCTTCTCGCTTTGCCTTAGCAAGAAGGGCCGTCTGGTGAGACATCTCACTTCATGTTACTCCGAGAACTGGGGTTACGTAAGTAACCTATAGTTCTCATTCATAACACTCCGTTCGATGTCTCACTATGGGATATTGAAACTCCTGTATTGCTAGACATGCTTATCTCGAAAATCACCAAAACAACCAGAACTTAACAGGTAGAACCCTGTCTCAACACGGGGCCCAGCACTGCGCGGGCCACACTTGGAGCAGAGACATCTAGCCTGTAAAAGTGGATAAAAGTGAGCGGTGAGGACCAGCTCGCTGCTGCACAAATGTCTTGGATGGAAACACCCTTGAACAAAGCACAGGATGTAGCCAGTCCACGAGTAGAATGAGCACGCAGGCCCGTTGGTGCCTGCAAACCCTGACTCGTATAAGCCAGAGCAATCGCTTCCACAATCCAGTGGGAGAGCCGTTGCCTGGTAACGGGCTTGCCCTTCTGAGGGTTAGCCCAGGATATAAAGAGTTGGTCATTGCAACAAACTCTTTTGATCTGTCCATATAGGTG